CATCTCCCCGGCTCCTAAATTAATTAATTAATAAAATAAATGGTGCTGGAAAAACTGGTTCTCTACATGCTGAAGACTAAAACCATACCCCTGTCTATCACCATGCACTAAACTAAAGCAAAATAGATAAAGATCTAAATATTAAAACAGAAACACTAAATCTACTGGAAGAAAAAATAGGTAGAAATCTTGAAAACATACAGGTAGGCACAGTTCATGAACAAAAACCAAACTGCACAGGAAATACTTCATATAATAAACAACTGGGACAGGGCCGGGGAAATGGCTCAGTAGAATAAGCACTTCCCTGGCAAGCGCAAGGATCTGAGTTCAATCCCCGGTTCCGCAAAAAAAAAAAAAAAAATCATTAGCAAGTACATGGTGCTGTCCTCCTAATCTCCATACTCCTCCGGCTCACCTCAGACTCATAAACAACTGGGATTTCACCTTATTGAAAAATTTTTGCACATCAAAAGAAATCTGTAACAGTAAAAACAAAACCCACGAACTAGAAAAAACCTTTAGGGTCAGGGAGGTAGCTCAGTGCAATTAGTGCTTGCCCTGCAAAGTGCAAGGTTCTGAGTTCTATCCCTGGTACACACACACACACACAAACACACACACACACACACACACATTAGCCAACTGTTCCTCAAAAATTTCTATCTAGAACATATGAACAATTTTATTTATTTATTTATTTATTTGTATTTTAGGGAAAGGTCTACAGGGTGTTCAGGGTCTCACTTCTAGATCGGACTCATAGTCATAGTAATCCACCTGTTTACAGCCTCTCAAGAGCTCGGATTACAAGTACCATACCACCACACCCAGTCTCAATTGCCTTCTCAGCACACCCCAGGGGTGGTGGCTGGCATGGCAGGCCAGGGGTTGGTACCCCCAGTCACTGCGCCTGTTTACAGGCACTTTAATCTGCTGAGCTATTTGGCTGGCCCTAGACAGTTGAAAGAAAGAAAGAAAGAAAGAAAGAAAGAAAGAAAGAAAGAAAGAAAGAAAGCAGGCAGGCAGGCAGGCAGGCAGGCAGGCAGGCAGGCAAGCAGGCAGGCAGGCAGGCAAGCAAGCAGGCAGGCAGGCAAGCAAGCAGGCCTCTGAAATTCCAAGACCCAATAACAAAGGGGCATCTGAGATGAAAACATACTTCTCAAAGAAATATAATTGACAAGTAAAAATATGAAAGAACATTCAACATTGTTAGTTATTAAAGAAATGAAAATTAAAAACACCAAGGCTCTATCTCATCTCAGAAAGAATGGCTATTGTTATGAAATAACAAATGCTGGAGAGGGCCGGATAGCTCAGCAGAGTAAAGCACCTGCTTAGGCAGAATGCAGGGGCTGGGGCTCGATCCCCGAGTGCAGTGCCAGCCCTGCCCCCAAGGCACACTTGAGATGGCAAATGAGACTGGTCATGGTGCCGCGTGCCTGTAATCCCAGAGCCTGGGAGGCTGAAAACAGGAGTATCATTACAAGTCCAATCTGTGTAGTGAGATCCTGTAAGACCCTGTACTAAAAAAA